GAGGTGAAACCGCCCTGCAAGCGGAGCCGTGGCCGGAATGACCGCTTTCCCCTCCTTCTAGTCAGCCTTCTCCAGGTCCCGGGCTGCCGGCAGCCTGTCCCGACGGCGGGGGGACCGCGCTGCCACCGGGAGCCATCTCTGTTCTCGGGCGGTGCCCAGGTGACACATACCTGACCGCTTCTGTCATAGTCTTCGAGTGTGTTTCCGTCTTTGTAACCTTAGCGAGGTTTTGGTGTTAGCGTCGATCCCTTTTTCTGGTTAATGCAGGCGCGGTTCCACCTTTGCTAGCAGCCGAATTGTGGGAGGTGGCAGAGGGTGTGCAGCAGGCAGGGGCTCTGCAGGTGACCGGTAAAGGTGTTACCTTCCTTCGAGCTCCACTGCCTAATGCTAAGAGACTGATAAATGCTCAAGGCTAGAAGCTTTGACAGAGTTCGAGAAACAAGGGATGGAGAGCGAGTCTCGGTGATGGAATACAAGTATGGAAAGAACAGAGCAGTATAGTTGTTGGTTTTGAATGTGGTAACTCGTGTAAGCTTGTGGTGGTAGCAGACCAGGAGCTGGTGGAGGGATATACAGGAGGGAACTGTCAGGGCAGTTTGACAGGGAAACTGGGCAGACTTCTCAGCTGTGTTCATCTCCTTTCAGGTCATAAAAAAATGTGTAAAAATCTGTGATAGTGGTGTAGTAGCTGTGGTAGGAAAAGGGACTAGGGGCAGAACATCCCTGATTGAGAGCTGCTGTGATTTGGACATGGGATAATTGTGGCACGGTGTAAAGCAGTGCAGCTGGAATAGAAAGGTTTAAGGTCTAGCCGTCGTTTCTGATTTCTGGCCTGTTAATACAACCAAACCCGGCAGCTGCGTAGCAGGCTTCATTCCTAGAAAGTTCTGTCACCCTTTACTGTGAAGGTGACTTACAGATGGAAAACACTGCCCATAACATTGTTTAATCTCTTTTTGCAAAACACATACTTGAGCTTCTACATTAGTGCTACAGAGGACTTCAAGGACCGCTGTGGGATGGGGAGACAGCATTTCTGATGTGGATTTAGTTAAGCGCGGTACAGTTTTGAAAGTCAAGTGTTACGGTGTCCTTCAGGAGAAAGCAGATGTCGTTTTCTTTCCTTACAGTGGCACGAAGGGGGAGCGGGGAGCCCGGCAGCACTGACTCCTAGGGAGGGTCTGCCTTGAGTGCCCCTGTAACCCTTCATTTAGGCTGTCACAACCGTTACCCAATGCTAACTTCACCTTTTAAAACCCTCCAGAGTAGAACGGGGTGTATCAGCTTGTGTCCTGGTCGCAAGGCGAGGAACACAGTGTTAGCAAGGAATGACTACTTTGGTCTGCTTAACTGAAAGCTTTGGCAGATAAACAGTAATACAGGTATGCTGTATTATGTGTTTTCACCTTGTCTATGGTATTGCAAATTAGAAGAGGATAAAATCATAGCCACTTAGGCCTTCTGTTGCTGGAAGATTTCTGAAATTCACCGTGTTACTGGCACAATTACCCTTTTGAATTTTTAAAATACCTTCTAGTTTGTAATTTGCTTATACTGAGTGACTCTCATGATAAATACGTGTATACGCATGTGTATTTGCTACCACAGTTGTTGGGAGCATTTAAGGAGAAGTATCTGCTCTGTGCGGGAAACTATTTGTGAGCTTTGTGCTACTTTTTTTTTTTTTCCTGGAAAACTTTTTTTCTTTCTCTTTGCTTAACTCTGTGATGTTGGGTCTTTTCTGTCTTTTTTCATTGGTGTTCCCAGTCTCTCTGTTTCTGATAACCATCTACTGATTTATTGCCACTGTTGTTCATGCATAGACTATTTCCTCTGTGCTGCTGCCAGTGCAGGATGAAACTGAATTTCGGGATTTCTACCTTTTGCTTCCCTGGTGCAACTGTGGAGTGATTGCCTAGAACAAATTAAAAAACCCAACAGGGTGCCTGTAGCAGACATCAACACTAGTATTCCAAATGCTGTTTTGAAATTGATGAATAATAAATAAAAAATGAAGCGCAGTTTTTCCTGGAGGTGACTGGGAGTGGGATGCCACATGCAACCTTGGCCCCTGCCTGGAGCTGAAAGCAAAAGCTCCTGGCCGAGCACAGCCAGCCTGGCTTTCCAGAGCTGCTCGCTAGCCGGCAACCGCTGTCAGTCTTTAAATTTCTCAGTTGCCTGGGAAACCGAGTGGTGTGTTTCTGTGGAAATGGGAATTTCAGTCCTTCTGCTTGGGAGGGTTATGAAACGGCCCTGGAGGGAGCGCAGGCCTCCAGGCTGGCTGGCTCGTCCCTGCTCTAACCTGCGCAGGCTTGCGGCGAGGCGCCCCGCTTTACTAGGGGGAGGCATGCCTGGTTGGGGGGGGATACTTCTGCGGAGTTTGAGGTGATTCCTAATAGTGCCGTGAAAAATTCTGTGCAGTTGTTCCTTTGTTTTTAGTGGTAAGCAAAACTGCAGTTAAAACATTTTTATGAAGATTAATTTTATCTTGCCCTCTACATAGCTCAAGTAAGCTAGATATGTATCCTTTATACAGAAAATTTCCCTGCTGTAACAGTTCCTTTGAAGAGAACTTCAGCTCTAGATTTAAAAAAAAATAGAGATTTTAAACATAGAGGTTTTTTTTAAACTATAGTCATTCTATATATATAAAAGAAAGTAATAAATGAGGGTACCTAGTACGGCTTCTTCCTTTTCTAATCATGAACAAAAACTTAACTGATTTTTTTTAAAAAGTGGAAATTACATTCCCAAGATTCCTAAGAACTTCATACATATATAAAAAAAAGTAAAACTTCTAAATGTATTTCCTATGAGAATTAATTTAATTATAAAAAATAATTTATCTAGACAGTGGAGTAGATTTGTTATTCAGCTTCCTTTCATTATTGACACATTTCTTCAGTTTCAATGTCTGGAACATCACTTAAAAATGTGAAATTATTAAGATATAGACCTAAAGAACCTAGTGTCACCACAGTGGCTGATTGGAAAAGCTGGAAAATAAAGGTCTGTGGCTCCCTAGTAAAAAGAGAAATACCTCGTGGTCTTTAGAAAGAGCAGTGCAGTACAGAAATAGATTTAGCGTCAAAGTGTTGTGAATGTCTTGTGAAATGTTTGTAGTACTTGATATTAATTCTCTTTAGGAGAGTACACTAGTTAGTTTTAAATGCTAACACACTTTATTGTTCTTATTTAGAGGGTAGTTCCTAAGAATTGCATTTCTTTTTAGTAGATTTTCTTCTGTTGTCAAGCTCTCTTTAAAAAAAAAAGTGGAGTTCAAATAAGTGAACCAGTATTTTGTATTAATTAGCTGAAAAAATGACCCAAAGTGTGTTGGATAAATTTTTTTAATTAATTTTTTTAAAGCTGAATTAATCAAAAGCGTGGTTTCGATATAAAGTTGACATACTCAACACCATACAAGTACCTCCTTCAATTGAACTGAATGTTTTGGGTGACAATGGCCATTATATGATGATGATTTGTTAATTTATTATTATTCAGTCTGGTTTTTACAAGGCAAGAGAGTCTGATCAAGCTAGCAGAGTTGAACACTTTCACTTTGGGATGTACCAGCCTATCTCAATAAAGTGAGATAAGCCACACTTCTGTACAACCAGAATAGGTTTCTCTGTTCAGGGCTGATTTAACTCTCAAAGAACCAGTGTCTGGGTATTTAGTGTCTGACTTCCATCAGTTTAGCTCTGTGCCTTTTGCAGGAACAATACTGCTTAATTTATTTATTGTAAATTGTATATTAGTTAGTGACAAATTTAATCATCAGTGGTTTTCATGATTCCGAATGCAATTTAAGGTTTTATTTTCAAAAGGAGAGTATAATATACCATTCAATTCCTTTTAAGTAGATTCACTTAAAACCAATCAGACTTTGTTAATCTTGGTGTCAGAAATGCTGATAGATGGATGCAAAAATATATTACTGCATTAAAAAGATTAGGAGGGCACATCTGAATAAAATAGCCGCCTTAAGCACCCCTCATAGCTAGTTATCTTCCTGACTGAGTCCGACAAAGGTTCAGGAGCACTTTGAGCAGCTGCGTCAGCCCAGCTGCACGGTACGGTTTTCTGATCTAGAGTTAGAGTCTAAATTGAGAGTCTTTGATACCAAATGCCTGGACAATTTCTTTTTGCAGTTGTAGCAAATTCTACAGAGTTGACTTAGAACTGGGGGATTGGAAAATGTGACACAAAGATAGGGAAAGTTCATACTAATTTCCCCATTTTTTTAAACAGAAACAAATCAAGAATTATGATTTATTATGAAAACTGACATTAGAGTTATTGTTATTTGTGACTTTACAGTGTGATTTCACTAAGCTGGCAAAGAAAAACAAGGCAACATTACAAAAATGGAAAGCGAAAGTTAGTTTTTTTAGTTTTGTGCTTAAAGTAACCCAGGAATAATACCATAAGTCTAATTGCTGTTAGTGTTACTGTATTTAAAAGCCATTGAGTTAGACTCTCATTTGTGCCAAGTAAAAGCTAGAGATAGCTTTTAGTAAATTTGAGTGCTTAATACTGTAATGATTATTTATATTACAAAAGTAACATTTGAGAAAAGTTAGAGAAAAAAACTTTCTGTACTTACTGTTCTATTCTTGAAAATGTTACTCATAGTGGGAGAAAATTTTCATAATTCTTAGATTATTTAGAAGCTTTAGTTTAACTTTTATCACTCTCTCCTACTTTCCCACTGTAAAAAATATATAGTAGCAGATTGCTGCTTTTCCTAGCTTTTTAAGGCAGAAATTGGATGAGTGAACACTGTCTAGTCACTTAGATCGTAATTTAATGAAATCTTTGAACCATTGGTCACTTTCATTCTTTCTTTGGCTTTTTTCCCCTTTACAATAAATTGCCAGTGTTACTGGTCGTTAAATGTCACGTGTAGGTGTTTAGGTTAATAAAACATTTTTAAATGAGTTCATTGCAAAAAGAGATTAAACTTTTTTCTTTTTGTTTTTCTTTTGTAGGACATGCATCACTTTGAGGAAGAGTTAACCTGTTCCATTTGCTATAGCATATTTGAAGATCCACGCGTTCTGCCCTGTTCCCATACGTTTTGTAGGAATTGCCTAGAAGGTGTTATTCAGCTGTCAAGCAACTTTTCCATTTGGAGACCCCTGAGAGTTCCTCTGAAGTGTCCTAACTGTAGGACTATTGTTGAAATTCCTGCTGCTGGTACCGAATCGTTGCCTATCAACTTTGCGTTGAAAGCTATTATTGAAAAATACCAACAGGGAGATCACTCTGATGTTGCAACCTGCAGTGAACATTACAGGCAACCACTGAACGTTTACTGTCTTTTGGACAGAAAGTTGGTGTGTGGCCATTGCCTTACAATAGGAAAACACAATGGTCATCCAATAGATGACCTTCAAAGTGCCTACATCAAAGAAAAGGAGACTTCTGGAAAACTCCTGGAGCAGCTAACTGATAAATACTGGACTGATGTATGTTTGCTTATTGAAAAGCTGAAAGAACAGAAGTCCCAGTGTGAAAGCATTGTTCAGGATGATAAAAAAGTAGTCATACAGTATTTTAAGAAACTTACTGATGTCTTGGAGCACAAAAAACAAGCTCTGCTGACTGCACTGGATGAAATTAACACACACATTTTGGAAGAGTATGAGCCTCTCATTGAGAAGTTGAAAAAAATAAGGGAAGAACAGCTGGAATTAATGTCACTGAATACATCTATTCAAAAAGAAGAGTCCCCGCTTATTTTTCTTGAGAAGGTGGATGATATGCATCAACGTATAAAAGCTTTGAAACAGAAGCAACTACCGGATGTTAAACCTGTGGAGATTTATCCAAGGATTGGGCACCTGCTGAAAGATGTGTGGTCTAAAACTGAAATCGGTCAGATCAACAAGGTCCTCACTCCAAAAATAAAACTGATTCCGAAAAGGAAGTTACGCAGCAAAGGCAGTGGAAAGGAAGGAAGAGAATCTAAAGAACTCCTCCAGGCTGTAAATCCTTTAGCAGTCCTGCTTCTTTTTATAATAATAGCGGTAACTGTGTGTTCATTTCACAAACCGGTATATACAGTTGTAATCGAAACTACTCCCACTTATATCGCAGAATTCTTGCTGCTTACTTATCAAGATTTCTGCACCCATTTGCAGAATATGGTGGATGTGCTGTGCCATAAATTTAGTTTATTGATGGAGTTTTTAGGGAGAATTGTTTCTCTTTGACTATTTCAATGATTAGATGAAAAGTTAGTGTAGGAATCCACACAGGTGGTTTCTTTTTTTTAATTTCTACTTAAAAGCTGGATTCCTTTCTATTTCCATATCCTTCCTTTTTCTGTACGTTATAGATTTCCTCTTAGCTAACTCCTAGTTAACTAAGAAGGTTTGCAACAAAAAAGGCTTCCTCTTCTGCTCACACAGTACTACGGTGGGCGTTTGTTGAAACTGGAAGCTAGTCAGAAACAATGTCTGTGTAAGACAGCTATAATCAGCTTACAAAAGTGTAATCTGGAGTCTTGTTTGTAAAAACTCTTCAAACATCTGCTATCTTTTTTTTAAATTTTAATTTTTTTTATT